GGTGGGGGGAGGACCAGGGAGGACGATTCAACCACTCAACCACTAGATGTCGCTGAAAACAACAAATCCGACACACTGTGCCTTTAATTTGATTTTGCATTTTTAAATTTAGGTTTTAAAAACMGGGAAAAAAAACAAAACAACATGCTTGTTTTGTTTTTGCTATTTTATTTTGAAAGGAAAAAAACCAAAGAATGAACCATACACAGGTTATAAATTCGATTTTTGTTTGGTGTTCTGAGCAAAATAAAAGTAGTTTATTCAACAATAAACAGACACTTTTTAACACAGTGAGCTGCAGAAACACATTAGAGAACAGATTTCCTTTTTAATAAGATGTGAAGATGTAAAAGTAGCCTAAATGTTCTTCTTTCTCCTTCAAGCTTCGATTAAAACCAAGGATTTCTTCGGTTCTGCAGAACATTAGCCCTTCAAACCACTTGAGTGTGAGGCTTAGAAAGCCATTACTGTTATCAACAGAGCACTTAACAACATGTTCAGAGCCACGACTCCAGCAGAGACGCTCTAATAATCTGCTGCAGGCTCAAACTGTCTCCAAGACAACAACTTCTACTTCTGCTGGAATATATTCACAACTGGATCGTTTTATGATGGGGGGAACCGATCTCTAAAAGAAAGACTTACAAAGAGGAAATGGAGGAAACTAAGTAGAAAACGGTGGGAAAGCAGAGAAAATGAGCCGAGACGAGGAAGAAAATAAAGCTGGCAGCTTTTCAGATGATGGGTTTTAAGAAGGATCTGTCGACACTCGAAAGTTTCCTCCTGAAGAGAAATAATACAAAAACAGACAGAATGTTTTTTTTATTTCCCCACCTTTAGTCTTATCCAGCAGTTTAACATGTCTACTATTAATGTTTAGAAATCATTTATTATATTTATTGTGTTTATGAACAGTTTAAATGTTAAAAAAAGGTGAACATTTGGATTAAAACGTTTTATTGTTCATCCTCTTCATCTGTTTATTTCAGACCTGCCTCCGTAGAGAGGAAACCTCCAGAGCTCAGCACTCTCAGTGACGGTTACCAGATCCGCATCTGACCCCCCACACCTCACCTGTAAGGGGTCTTTAACCCCGCCCCTCCAGTCTCCACCTGCCACCAGCGCTGAAACAAACTGAAGCTGAAGCTTCAGAGCTGGACGGTATAAAACAACCTCAAACTGCAACACCGGCCTTCTGTCTGCTTAAATGTTTCAGTTGGACTTTGGCCAAAACTTTCATTTATTATGCAGAGAAAACTGGAACAAATTAGGCAGCAGTCGCTTCTTAAAGGTTGAAAAGTCAGGTCAGATTGTATCGATCACGGTGGCTTAGAGTAAGAAAAGTGTTGATCAAGAGGATTGAATGTGTCAGTCAATAGAGAGGAAAATTTAAAAAGAAAAGGCGGAAAGACAGAAGAGCTACAAAGACAGGAATCAATGGAGACGAGAAAAATGACTAATTGGACGTCTCCAGCAGCTCTCCTTGTAAAAGTCCTTCAAACAAAACAAAAGCTGTTAAAACTTGTTAAAGTAGAGCTTAAAACCTAAAAGGCAACAAATCAGGACCTTTGGTTCTGAAGTCCTGAGGTGTACTGTATGGTTATAGTAAGGCCTTACTGAAGCCACAAAGAGGGCTGTGAAATGTGAAAAAAATGTGAAAAATTTTGATATTTGTAATGTTTTATTTAGATAACTATTTATGGTATGTCACCCTTAAAGGAAAGTATTTTTTAAGTAAAATGTCACCACATAGAATTAAATCACTTCACTTTGTGAAGTTAAGTGACCAGTTAGCGTCTCTGAAGCTAAGGGACCTGTTAGCGTCTCTGAAGCTAAGTGACCTGTTAGCGTCTCTGAAGCTAAGTGACCTGTTAGCGTCTCTGAAGCTAAGTGACCTGTTAGCGTCTCTGAAGCTAAGTGACCAGTTAGCATCTCTGAAGCTAAGGGACCTGTTAGCGTCTCTGAAGCTAAGGGACCTGTTAGCGTCTCTGAAGCTAAGGGACCTGTTAGCGTCTCTGAAGCTAAGTGACCAGTTAGCGTCTCTGAAGCTAAGCGGCCAGTTAGCTTCTGCTCCGTACTGTAAGATCTGTTCCTCACCTCTGACTGTCCGGTCCGGGTTAAATGTGATTGGATGTTTTTATCGTCCTGTCGAGGCCTTTGATGAATCACAGTTAAAGCTTGAAGTCTGTTGTCGTTGTACTTTTCCAGTATTTTCACTTGAATTGAATCGTTGTGATGCAATCATTTAAAGCAAACCAGAAAATCACAGAATATTTCATATCAAAGCTCGATTCTTCATGTTTATGCAGGAAAGTCTGAGCTCAGTCTTAAAGCTGAACCAGCTGTTCTTCTGGTCAATAGAACCTGAACCGACYGGGTCAGGTTCTGATGTTTAGAGTTTGATTCTGGAGGTTTAACTGATTGTTTTTAAGATCTAATGTTTTGAATATATTTCACTGTTCTAAAGCTTTTTGTGTATATCCRTGCATATAATACATCCATGTATCTATGCTTACCTTCATGCTTTGAGTCACGTTTGTATAAATACACAAATACTTGCATCGAGAAAGTTGTGAAGGACACAAAAGAAACTCCTGAAACTTGACGTGTGACCGAGGAACTCGAACCCTCGTAGGATTTTGTGAAACCCGTGTTTATGGTCATCAGTAGGACAACTTTAAAGTCTGCGTTGTGACTTTATCCTTGGATCGTTTCTTCACTTTTCTCTGATTGTTTCTGCTCCATCAGRTGATGAGTCAGCAGAAATCATTTCCTTGAGCTATGCACGCGCTGTTASCCGTCAGATGAGGCAAAAACAACAGAAGTCCTTGTCTTCCACAGTTGGTTTCATTGACGAGGCTTTAAGTAAATGATGAGCGTGTAGAAGAGTACATGAACCTCAGAATACCTCCATCTGTTTGTCCATCAACAACCAGTCGAGGCAAAAACTTCCTGTTTCCAGTGAATGAAAGAAACAACAGATTATTTACTAGTTTTTGGATTCGAGATGAGCATTGTGGCTTCTGTCCTGGAACCGCGGACCAGATCTTTACCCTTGTGGACTTGCTAAAGAGGATTTTTGAGTATTTTTTTTTCTATTTTCCTCACATTGGTTACATATTCGATCTAATTGTTAGTGTTACATCATGCAAGAGGCTTTAAAACTTCACCTTCAGTGTTGAACAAACTTTTCATAAGTTGTGTAAAACATTACAATGTGACTCTAGCTGCAGAAAAATGTTGTTTTTTGTTACAAATGACAGACAGGATGAAGTGGTCCTGGTCTTGTTAGCACGTGTACATAAAGGTTTCCTGATTCATGTATTTTATATATATTTAAAAAAAAACACTCCCAGTTGTAAATCCAGCCTGAGTCCTTTTTGGTGCTGCAGGAAAACAGAACTATTTGTGACCTGTTTCAGATGTTTGGACCAGCACAGATCAGACTGACTGAAACTGAGGGTCGGGTGTTAGCACTTAGCCTGTTTGTTAGCATACAGCTGAAGCACAACGCTGCTCCGGGTCTGTTATCGATGCCTTTTTCTTTAGAGGCAAATATCTGCTTGACTACCTGTTAGAGTCACACCTGAAAGAGTTTTATTTATTGTAGCAAATGTTCAAATATCAGCTTGTGATCAAAAACGTCTTTGCTTGACAATTTATCTTACCGAATGTTTTATTTTGCTTTTATAAAACGTGTTTGACTGCAGTCGGATTTTTACGATGGCGTATTAGGGACACTTTGCAGATGGAAAAAAAGGAGGAGCAAATCTCTGAGAAAAAACTCGGAATTTCTGAGATTAATTTCAAAAATTTTCGAGAAAAAAACTGGCAATTCTCTTATTTTGAAAATTCGCAATTTTGCTAGAAAATAACTGAATTTCTAAGATTAATATCAGAAAATTTCAAGAAAAAACAAGCAATTCTCTTATGTTGAAAAGTTGTAATTTTGCTAGAAAAAACTCGGAATTTCTGAGATTAATTTC